AAGATAAAATTCACGTGCATGTGAAACACAAAAAAAGCGTACCGCAAGTCACCACTTTTAGCTCGGTGTTATTGGAGGAGGTTTTTACAAAGGCAATTTTTCTCTGTGTACGCGTTTTTGCGCGACTAATTACGTCCCAGAAGTGTTAATGGAGCGGCTCTTTATCTAATATTAGAATAATTCATTAAGAAAATCGGCTCTTTCACATGTTGGCCGACAAGTGTTCCAGCTCGCAGTCTAAAAGTGTTCCATAAATTAAAAGGCGTGTTCACACTCACTCGATAGACTAGAAAAAACCCTCAAACGATTCGGTTACAACAATTATGTTGGGTTTTTGTAATTTTTCTTTCGGACAACATCATCAACGACAGATGGGATGGAAGAACACACACACGGAACCCATAAATCTGCACTAATAGTAGGAATAAGGAAGTTATCCAGTCGATAAGTTATTCGTACGCACAAATTAAGTCGTGGAGTTGGAGGATGGCGCCGTGTCTCAACGTAAAAACGGCGTTAAGTCGAAAACGGTGTCGAAGTGTCACAAGTGGTCTGGATGTTGTCGGGGTTTAATGGGAGTTTCCGTTTGGGGCGATGAGAGTACAGGAAGAGATTTGAAGTGAAATACTCGAGTTTATGGGTTTTGATGAAGTCAAAATGCTTCGAAAGTGTCAATAAAAATTTGTATGGGATGGATTGTTCTTTTTTGTTTCAGCCGGATTTAATTAATTAAAAATCTGTCTGCGAATGGTAAGAATAAAAATAGACATTCGTAACGAAATAAAAAACAATGATATCTAGAGGTTTTTTCCACTACTGCCTGAACTGGCTGGACGTGTTTTTTTCACGATTGATGATATAACCTGATTTATACAGGCTGAAATTGAAAATGTTTTAAAACAGTTCTTTGTGATTTCTTAGAATTTTACATAAAGTGTCTGAAGCATTCGAGACAAAATTCAATTCTTTTAATTAGAGTGGACGTGGATTTGTAAAACAACTGATAATCTTCTGCTTTATACTTTACCATAAATATATTTAAAACGTTAATTACAAAAAAACCCGAAGTTTTTGTGGGAATAAATTTTATAACGATTGTAACTGTATGGCAACAAATGATCAACTCTGCAGCACTAACTTACCTACCTGTCAATGAATAATTTAGACGTAAAATTTTCATCATGTGTTTATTGAAATATTTGATTTCTTCTGAAAGAAATAATTTTTTTTCTATAAGAAATAAGAATAAACGTTTTATCTGAAAATCTAGTTCTTTTTTAGTAAATTCATACGAATCACCTACCATCCCAAATGTTTTATATACTGGGTAGATAAAAAATCCCGGAATGCCATTTATTTTTGTTTTTTTTTTGTTGGAATTTTTCATAGACATATGGTCAGAATGAATGAATTTACTGATGATGACGTTTGCAATTTTTTTTCTACATGAAACACCTTGCATATTTTATTACTTTCGGTTGGGTGCGGAATAAAAATGCACATTCATTTCTAACTACTCAGTTGGTTAAATTTAAATTTAGTTTTAATAAATAACTAATGGTAACATCCGACTTTGACGAATTCCGAAATAAGTTAATTTACTTATAGTTTTGGAAATTTCATTCTACCCTATAAAATTTTATTGGCAATAACGAGACGGACAGTACCTAATACAATAGCAAGAGATATTTACAACTTAAAGTTGCCGCGTGCCGGTAATACCCAAATGTTAGAAAGCAGACTAATCCAGGTCCGAACAGGGACCCTCGTTATTCACGAACGAAAATGAGCATTATATTATGTGAACAACTACCTGCTAAATGTTTTCCGATAAATTCGGATGAACTGGTGTGAGCAATAAATATTTCTTATCAGTGTAAGTAGGGGAACGAGGGGTTTTTTGTAACAGTTTTTAGGAAAACAAATATAATTTGGTATCTATTAGCTGTTTGACCATTATAAAAGTATCTGTCGGTAGTCTAACTATTCCCCTACTGGACTGAACAGGCAAAATGTCAAAATTGTTCATATTCACTTCATACCAGGCATTTTCTTAAAAAAAGTGCAGTGTTACAACTTGCCCCGTGTTTGGGGCTAGTTGTAACATCCATCAGGCAAGTAGTAACAGTAAAAGTAAAGCTAATGTTGATACATATTTAGACTTTATTTTTCAAAAATCGACACAAAACTTCATTATATATAATGTTTATCAGTAAAACTGAAATAAACTTTTAGAAACGGAGTCAACATTAAAGATTTGAGTTTTGTTTTCCTTTTTCTTAATATATCTGGAAAGCAATATATGGCATAGGTACAAATTTTCGCTCGCTTTTCGTATGCTAGGTACCAAATTTGTAGAAGTGAATTTGGGATAAGTTGTAACATGTGACAACTTGCCCCCGAGATATTGTTACAACATGCCCCGTAGCACATTTTTCTACATTTAATTACATTTCGACAAAATTATGTCGCTTAGCGTCAAAATGTGTAAGGAATATCAAAGCTGAGTAATTTTTGAACTACATGCAAAATTAAAAGTTTAAAATTAGTTAATAACAGATACGAAAAACCAAATTTTACTAAAGCAATATTTTACATTAGTTGGGCAAAACGAAACACGTGCACACATCCACTCACTGCGCTGGCTGGAGGAACAGTGGTTGTGATGACATGATGTCTTATGGTGCAAGAATTAAATTTAGTGAAAAACCTGAGGTTAAAGAGTTTAAATTCCGGGTAAAAATTAAGTGTTACAACTTACCCCTGTTACAACAAGCCCCTATTTCCCTTACTACTGTTGTCGATAAAATTTTATAGGGTAGAATGAAATTTCCAAAACTATAGTTTAATTTGTTACTACAGTAAGGCCGAAATCACAATGATCAGATTGTCTTGCTTTTGTGTTCATATTGTCATTTATTTTTAATTTAATGTATTACCGGAAGCTTATAAAAATTGAGAAAAATCGATCATATGTCTACAAAGTTTAAATTTTCTTTTCGACCATCCGACCATATTTTGGGTTACATGAAATTGAATTTTCATTGTTCAAAATAATTTTAGAAGGATTATGTCTGGATCTAAGCTTTCTTAATTTATACTTGATTTTATAAAAAAATTAAAAATTGTTCAAAATGAATCTGACAACAATGGCTAATTTTTGACATTTTTTATCTAGGTACCTAACTATCTAAATCGGTATTTTATTCTTGAAAGTGAACGTTGCAATTGACGTAATAAATTTTTTAATGATTTTTTTTTCGAATTTATAGACTTATTATCAATTATTGCATATATACAGGATTTTCTTTTATTTGATAAAATCCCTGTAACTTTTTTATTCTTAAAGATAAACCTTTTTTTTGAGCAAATTTGTATCATTTTAAAAGATCTATGAGGATCGGAAATTATGTCAACTTTATTTTTTTTAAGGAACACTAGGTATATTTTTTCATAAATGGAAAGACTGATTTTTTCTAAAAATCACAAGCAACCATTATTCTAAAATCAATACTTAAAAAGTTATTCAATTATTAGACGAAAAATTCATATTTATTGATGACAATCTAGTAGGTAGGTATAGCTTGAGAAATTGACACTCATGTCATTTATTCACACAAGTGATACAAATTTACTTCAATCTATGTTTCTTTAAAAATACAAAAAATTCGGGGGTTGTATCAAATAAAAGAAACACATGGTATACTATATTTTTCCGTAACTCCTGTAGTAATTTTTATACTTAGATAAGTTATTTACGTATTGTTTGTCTCACTTCTCAAGTACAATCAATACCAACAAGTATATTAATTTTTATATGTACAATGTAAATCATAACGTTACTGCGTTGCCACCATTTCAGGACCTTTAGGTATGTTGTGTTGGATTTACTTACTTACAGATCAATTTCAAGTTGGATTTGCGATATCGCAAATTCGATATTGCAAATTCGTTATCACTGCCCCTGTTGCATTTTCCATGAGAACGGGGACTCACGGTATCGCAAATTTAACTTGAAATTGGCCCGTTAAAGGAGTCAAAGTCAAGTTGGATTTGCGATATTGCAAGTCCCGTTGCTATGGAAGATGCGATGACAGTTGCGATTCGGGATTGTGACTACTGTCATCTCATTTTCCATACCAACGGGGATTTACGATATCGCAAATCCATATTAAATTTGGTCCGTCACACTCATCACTAACTTTTTTGGAAGAGACGAACAAACAGATCTTGACTGATATTCTGTAAATGTTACCTATAGAATAGACACTTTTTAAAAGAAGTTTTAAGAATGTATACAGATTTAATTTTTTTTTCGACAACCCATCTATCAAAAATTAAAAACAATACAAAAAAAAAAGAAATGTAGGCACATTTTCCTACCGTTTTACCTTCTAGATGAAATTTTTTAAGTACTTCTAAAATTTCACAGGTAATCAGATTTGAAATCCCGGATATTATATATATAGTAGATGGTCAATAAATGGATAAACCACAGATGTACATTTTCGTATTCTACGATCTGTGAACGCCGAGACAACTTGAAATAGGACTCCGTTACAACACTTCCCTCAGCCTACGCTAAAACACGATATTTTACTATTATTTTTATACACTACACGTATATTGGTACACTGTATGAAAATGAACCGGAAGTGTCAAACTCTCCATCCGGCAAATTAAACAACAACAAACTTAATTTCGAAAATCGTATTTAAAACTCCCATTCACAATCAAATTAAGCAACCCACCCCACATAAATCATGCTAATACCCCCATAAATCGCCCATCCACCCCCAACGTAAAAATCCCTATCTCCGCACACCTATTTATCAGATTGCCGAGGGCGTGGCTTCCCCGTGGGCGTGCCGTCCGGTCGATACCATCTCGATACCATTTCTCCGACACGCGCACTACATCATTGGCATCCGACGCACCCGTGGGCGGTCTCCCAAGCTCCGCCCCTTCCTTTATCCACCTCCCCGTATATCCTACCTGCATTCCCTTCAGTCCACGGCCGACGGCACGTACAGCACCATGTTGGTGCCGCCGGACATGTTAGCAGCCCAATCCAAAATGCTCTACCAAATAAACAAATACTACGGAGAAAGGGTGCAAACACGGATGGCCACCATCGCTAAGACCATCCGCGAAGTGTGCAAAGTGGTTCAAGACGTGCTGAAAGAAGTGGAAGTCCAAGAACCGCGCTTCATTTCGTCTTTAACCGAGTGCAACGGCCGGTACGAAGGGCTGGAGGTGATCTCCCCCAACGAGTTCGAGGTGGTTCTCTATCTGAATCAGATGGGTGTGTTCAATTTCGTGGATGACGGTACTCTGCCCGGGTGCGCCGTCTTGAAACTGAGCGACGGCAGGAAGCGCTCGATGAGTCTTTGGGTGGAGTTTATAACGGCTTCTGGGTATCTGAGTGCGAGGAAAATCCGCTCCAGGTTCCAGACTTTGGTAGCTCAAGCTTGTGATAAGTGTTCGTATAGAGACTCGGTTAAGATGATTGCGGACACCACGGAGGTTAAACTCAGGATCAGGGAGAGATTCATCGTTCAAATCACCCCGGCGTTCAAGTGTTCTGGGGTTTGGCCGCGATCGGCGGCACACTGGCCGATCCCGCACATTCCCTGGCCCCACCCCAACCTAGTGGCCGAGGTGAAGACCGAAGGCTTCGACCTCCTCTCCAAAGAGAGCGTCGCGATACAGGGGAAGCAGTCGGCGATGGAAGGCGACGCTTGGGTTCTATCGTTCTTAGAAGCCGAAAACCGGCTCCTGCAAGGGGGCTGCAGGAGGCGGTGTCTGAGTATTTTGAAAACTTTGCGGGATAGACACTTAGATCTTCCGGGTAATCCGGTGACTAGCTACCATTTGAAGACGCTTTTGTTGTACGAATGTGAGAAACACCCGCGGGAGAGTGAGTGGGACGAGGCTTGTATTGGAGACAGGATCAACGGGATTTTCCTGCAACTGATTTCCTGCTTGCAGTGCAGGAGGTGTCCACACTATTTCCTGCCGAATTTGGATCTTTTTAAAGGAAAGTCGCCGAGTGCGCTGGAAAATGCGGCGAAACAAGTCTGGAGGTTGACGAGGGAGATGTTGACTAATACTAGGTGTTTGGAGAAGTTATAAGTTCCTTGATTACTCTGTATACGTACTGGGGCAAGTATAGGCCAGATTCGTGAAGACCAGTCGTGCCATACTTGTATATTTTCTCGTCTGATTTGGTAAACGCTTTAATTAGGTATTTTACTTTTTGTAAAATTTTGTACCTTAGTTGATGTACATATTTTTTGTAAACAAGAAGACTGTTGATTTGTTGCATGTGAAATTTTTATCTGTTTTGTATTATATTGAGAAAATTATTTATTAAAGAATTTGAATTCATTTTCGACTATTATTGGCAGGTTCAGGGAACTTTTATAGCCACATTGTACTATAAATATTGTGAATACATTCCAACAGTTAAAAGTTGAAACCACAAAAATATATCTTATTTGATTGAAAAAAATGACGGCTGCATTGCTCGCACACCACATGAACAATACACAGAGTTAAATAAATTATACGAAAAGAAATAAATTTGAAAGATATTTTAATTTTCGAATTTACGTCTTTTCTAAACTGTACATGCCAGAAACACACATTGGCTGCAATTTGTAATTTCTGCCGCATTTTAATAGCCCGACTATATTTTTAAAAGTCAAAAAACCAAGATATCTGGGAAATAAAAAAGATTATAATAAACATGAGCACCAAGTAACATAAATACGAGAAAATGTGTGTGCCAACAATAAAATTTCTCTTCCTATAACTTACGGCTGCATCGTACAACAAAAGTAACTAGATTTTATTTAGTAGGTATAGAATTTTGTTATTTTGAGAGGCGTGCACTTTATTTAGTTACTTATCCACATTTTTTGCCAAATTAAACAACAAAAAAAAGCGTTCGAAGTATTTTTCAAAACCAAAAACGACTAAAAAGAAATATCAAATTATATATTTTTAATATCGTAGAATTTGCTGCACCTGTAGATTATTTAAGTTCAAATTCAAATAACTTTATAAACAATTCATCTTTATATTTGATGGCAGTGTCAGGATTAATTTTTTAATGTGGAAATTTTAATAAAAATAAATGAATCTAATTTTTAAAAATTTTTTGAACTTCGCATAGATTTGAGAAATATGATACGGGGGAATACATCAATTTGACGTTTGAAATAAATATAAAATACAAATAAATCAGTTTTTCAAACAGCTATTTTTGTTGATTATAATTCAAAACTATACCTTCACAATGAAGCTGAAAATTATTATTTAAAGTTGCCGGAAAGTCCCATTTATCTGGCATCAGATTGCGCTTTTAATCTCGTTTTAAAAAAAAAAACAGCATTAACAGACACATCCTTATTTCAAAATGTACATAAAAAATCGTTCGTATAACAAAATAAACGGTCACAAATTTTAAAGAATGAAAGAAAAAATCAAACTTGAAATTTGTTGTTTTAAAAAATGTAAAATATGAGGCAGGTGCAAATTTCTATAGAAAAATTTAAATGTTTACGCTTACTGGTTATATTTTTGACGTCAAAAAATGCGATAGTTGTTGAAACAATTTTTTCAGAGAGGTTAGCAATTTTTAAGCATCTGATAAATTCGCTTTTCTAATATATTATTCTATAATGTTGTTATATATCATTCATTTACACGGAACACACATTTCTTGACAATTTTATAAGAACCACAGGAATGGCGGCGTGTTAAACAAATAATTGTCTGGCGATTTTGTCTATGTTAATGTCCTACATTATTCTTTATTTATTATTATTACCTTGTTAGACATATACTTTATCAGTTATCAATTTTTCCTCGCAAATTTGTTGCTTATTTGCACTGTATTTAAATACGAAGGAAACATTGTATATCTGAAAACAAACTATTTAACTTTGTCAACACTAGAACCCGGTATCTCTAATCATAAGCGAGTTATCATAAAACCGGTTATCGCAATTCGGTTCTGCCGCGGCAAAAACCAGTTATCGACCAAAAATTCGTTTTTGTCACGTGCTATTCGCACCGTCGCAGCACAATCGCGTCGAAATTGGAAACCTCCTGCATCAAATTGTATGTGTTGTTGCCAATTTCCTCCTTTTAATTTATACCTCGACGACGCTGGCATGCCAACTAGTCGTACAAACGTTTGAACACCTTGCTTTAATCGATTCAAACAATGACGCTCTCGGTAAAAAATATAAATTTCAAGAGAAAGAAAAGAATAAATTAGAGGTGACGTGAATTATTGTTAGAACGCATGAAAAGGATTAATTAGAAACATACAGAAATAAATTAATAAAACATGGGGCCCCTCCTTTCGACGACCTTAGAGGTATATGAACATTAATCGACGCGTATCAAGAATGTATTATATAAACTTTGAAATAAATTAGGATGATATATGGCTGCTATATTTACATTACGATGGGAGGGAGGTACGCGAGGCATATTTCTTCATTAATGACAATAATGGGTATCATCGAGTCGGTATATTATAATGGGCTTTTATGTTCGAGCAGGTGGAAATAATGCACATCAGAATTTATAAAAACGTGTACTTATCAAGGTCTGTAATGTAAGTAGGTACTTGTGGTAATTGGAAAATGTTGCTGTTTACCGTAATCGAAGTGCCGTTTTTATTTACGGTAATTGTTCATAACTAACCACTAATTTTTATTTAATCATCAGTAATCATCACTATGGTGATACTATAATTACCTTATGAAGACTACACGACCTGATTTACTTGATTGTTTACAGACACAAGAAATTTTTCTTGGAAAATGATTGCATGTGAATAATAATGTGTGAATTGTAAATAAGTCTTTATGCATATTGTCAATAGATATTTAAAACTGATTTAATATTGCCAACTGCGTGTTGAAAAAAATAACTCGCGAGACATTAAGTGATGTTCTGTTTGTTTAATCGGAGAAAAAAATTCACTTCGGTTGAGTGTCAATAATTTACAAAGCAACAGTCCAAAGCTTCAACTGATCTTTATTTTGTTTGGTTCAAGTCAATGACAAAAAAAATAAGTACAACGTTATAACAGGTCCGATTATAGCGACGGAAGATGGCTCGATTACATATGAAGAAAGGTATACCATGCACAGCCCTTTTTTTCCTTATTAAATTCTGTTTAATATCCATATAGTAATAACACATCAGGTGCGAAAAAAAAAACATTGTTGTAGAGTTGTGCAAGTTCTATATATGACAGTGCAAATTATTCTTTTAAAACAACCTGTATCCGGGTAATGGGACATGGTTGCTTATTTAAAGCAACATTATGTGATGAAATTATTAGTTTTTTGGACAAAATGGCCAGGAAAAATTTAGTTAGTTGGTTATCATTTTATCAGTCGAAAAACAGATAAATGCCAAGGTTGAAGTTATACTTTAGTATTCTAGTATCTGTCGAAGTTTGTAAGCTCAAGTAATTTTTCTACAAACCAAAAAAAGGCGCCACATAATTATGTGGACAATTTAAAATGACATCTGATTAATCGTGTTTTTTCAATTGCTACTTGTTTCAGAAATGAAAAGGTCATATCATTACACAATAGAATTAAATACATAACTATTGCGACACTACTAATAAAAATCAGACGATCGTAAAAGTGGAAATATCAGTCTAGTTATTTATGAATTTATTACTAATAGCTGTTAGAAGTAATTATAAACAAGTAATATCTTAATATATAACGTGTTATTTATGGTACACTCGAATGTCATTTATGTTTATAGATTTTACCTCAATATTAAATTTACAACCTAGAGATTTTATTAAGTTATTAAATTTTATTAAAATATTATCTATATCAGTGGTTACCATAAAAGGATATAAAAAAAACATAAAATTAAAACCAAACTTTCCGGCGATTTTAAAACTTCTGTTGACAAATCTATAGTCAAATATTATGTCTAACTTTTTTTATCTTGCTCCATTTGTATCAAATGTATCAAAATTTACATCTAAAGATATTGTATCGTCGCCAAGGTCTTGATAAAAACGGAGATCCAATCATTATTTATTTAGACTTTTTTTTACATCGTTGCCATGGAAACCGCACCTCTAGTCGCTGTATTTGGCTGGAATCGGGTCCATTTTCATTCTGCCCGAGTGAAATTGTTTGATTTAAATAAAAATATCAATTCAATTGAATATTAAATAAAAAATCGACGATAAAATTGTAGTGGAAAAATTAGGCAGAGCCACTCCCGATTTATTAACAAAAAAGTGTTCATGGCAAAATGAGCAACTTTCATGAATATTTTAATAGTCATAACACGTATGATAAATTTTTGTAGATGTGCGGTTGTGAAAAAAATAAATTGTTTTGTTTTATGTGTCTCCTCAGTAATGAGTCAAAACTAAAGATATGTGGACAAATACTTTTTACTTTTATTGAATGTATTTTTGTATTTATTTCCATCACACAATTTCGTCTATTAATACTACTAATAGCCTGTTTTGTATCTGCATATTTAACCCATCAATGAAATTGTGTCCTACCGTTTCAAAAGGTCACAGCCGCCACTGCTATTACGTCTATTCTATTTTTTAAACAATAAAATAAATAATACACATAGGACACAAGAAATAAAATTTTTAAGGCCAAATTGTCTATAAAATATAATAACGAATCAATGATCATAAAATGTGCTATAATAATATTTACCTACCTATATAAAATCTGGATATGTCAATAAAGTCAACATTATACAGCTAATAAATTATGATTAGATATACCAATATTATTTGGTTATCATTTTTTTTTTAGTAATGTGATACACGAAAAATATTATTTTTCATTATTAAACACAATAATGACTCGCTAATGCCCATTTGCACCAACGTTAGCAGTAAGCATTGCTTAGCTAAGCAATTCTTAAAAGTAACTACTTCTTAAATTGTACAGTTGTTGCACCGTCACTGCTTAGACTCTACTTAACCAAGTAATACTTAGTTGGGGAATTGTGTAAAAGTTTCATTTCTATTGGCAACACTGACGTTTGTTGTTATTGGAACATCAAAAATTTTAGGTTAGTTTGTTGTGTGTACGACAGTCATTGACACCGCGCGTGTGTAGTTGTGATATTGTTGAATTAATTTTATGTGGTGTTGAATGTGTGTTTAAAAAATGGATGTGTTCGACGCGTACGAGGATGACTTAGAAGTCATTGAAATTGTTGAGATGGGAATTCCACGGCAGATGTACACTAGAGCTGATCATTTCTATGGTTTACCAGAGCTTCAATTTTTCCAAAGATTTCGACTAACAAAACCAACAGTTTTACATTTATTAACGTTAATTGAAGAACGCTTGGAATTTCCTACAGACAGGTAAAAGTGGTTAAAAAATTTAATGTGTAAATATATTATGATTTGATCATTACAGAAATCAGGCGGTGTCACCTATAAATCAGCTGCTTACTACATTACGATTCTTTGCAAGCGGGGGCCATTTGAGTACAGTAGCGGACTATATGGGAATGCACATCTCAACTGTGTCGAGAATAATTAGACGCGTATCGGACGCTATAGCAAGACTTTACCAGCGTTTTATTAAGATGCCCCAAACTCTCATGGAGCAAAGGCTTATTCAAAATGGTTTTTTTGACATCGCGAGATTCCCTAGAGTGATTGGGGCCATTGATTGCACTCATATCAAAATTGAATCACCAGGTAAAGATTTAAAAAACCAAAAACACATTCTTTTCATTGGAACGTTTTTAAGGTGGAGAAAATGCTGAAGTTTTTCGCAATCGGAAAGATTATTTTTCAATTAACGTTCAAGCCATGTGTAATGCGAATATGGAGTTTACAAACGTAGTTGCTCGGTGGCCTGGTTCTACTCATGATATGACCATTTTCAATAACTCGATTTTACGAGCAAATTTTGAGAATGGAGATTATCCAAATTGTATAATATTGGGTAAGTTTCAGTTTTTAATATGTGTAAAAATACATTGCATTTGTTTTCAGGTGATGGTGGCTATGGTGTAAGACACTATTTTTTTACACCATTATTAAATCCACACACTCAAGAAGAGCAGTTGTATAATGAAGCTCATATTCGTACAAGAAATGTCATCGAAAGAACTTTTGGTGTCTGCAAACGAAGATTTCCTGTGCTAGCATGTGGATGTCGATTAAAAAAACAAACTGTTTTGAGTATTGTAATTGCGTGTGCAGTCCTGCATAATATAGCTCGACAAATGGGTGAAGATGAACCTCCTCTCCCAGCTGACATTAACCAGCATGAACTGCAGCGACTTATTGAAGATGGTCAAATATCAGAGGTCAATGTTATTGTTGTATTAATATTTTATTTTATATTTTATTGTTTTTCCGTATTATCCTGTTTCAGTTTTCTCAGCTGCTCCTTTTTTATTTCAATATCTAATTCTAAAATTTGCTTTCGAAGCAAAAATTCAACTTGCTTTCTTTCTTCGTCATGTTTTTGTCCTTCGAGTTGTGTCTCAACTAACTCCATTTTCTTTGTAGCTAGTTCGTCGTAAGCTTTCGACAAATGGCTGGAATGTAGTGCTGTTATTGTTGGCCTCCTCCTATTAATGACTGATTAATGTTAAGACAAAGGTCTTTTCATCTGCCGTAAAATTTGCTCCCCTCTGGCGCTTTGTATTATTCATCTGAAAATAAAACATATGTACATAATTCTTTACAACAAAACGTTATAATTGTGGTACATATCTTCTTTATATTATTTTTTGTCTTGTTAGAACTTTATTCCACACTTTTCACCGCTGATTACAAAACACTCACGAACGCTGCTACTGTTGAAAGGTTGAAATGGCTAAAATGATTGCAAAATTGCAAATTTTCGATTTCCAAAACCATCAGCCAATAGAAACGAAGTATTGTTCCGTTACTATGGCTACCGCACATGCGTTGTATCGTTGTGTCTCGTTAAGCACTGCTTACAAATTTAAGCCACAGGTAAACGGGCACTTAAATTAAGGATTTCTTAGAAGGCTTTAAGAGAGAGTTAACCGTTGGTGCAACGCATTCTTAGTTTTAAGAAAAGCTTAAATTTTAAGTACCTGACTTAAACGTTGGTGCAAATGGGCATAAGAGGTCTAGAATAATCAAAATATATATTTGGTAATACGTCAACTAAAGAAAAAGTGTTGAAACGTGCGACGTTTGGTGTACCTAAATATATTTTCACTTTTTTTAAATCTTAATTAGATGTAGGTTTAACGTATAGCAGACAATTTTTAATCACGAAATATGAAATCTATAGTAGAAACAATGGACTCGTGCTGAAGTTATATCTATCTATTTATCACGATTCTGAATAAAATAACCTAATCATTTTTGTTTGGAAAAAAAAATTTTAATTATTGTTAAGTTCATTTTATTACGAAATTTTCAACATTTAGTAACAAAGTTGATAGAAAAGTTAATACACATTTTGAAAAGTACAGCTGTACAGAAAATATTCTTATAGATTTCGGATATTCTCAAATAAACAATACAATACGTTCTAACAGTTCGTACATATTTTTTTTTGTACCAAATGAATAGATAACCATTCGTATGATCGGCAACGATCAACAGAACATTTACAGTGGTAATTAATGATTATATAGGGTGGTTTTTTTAATTTTTCCTCCAGATTCCCATGACGCTCATGTCCGCAGTTTCATTTCACTACTGACGTCAGGGCCATGGGTAACTAGAGCAGAGACTTTAAAAATCACCCCGTATTAAAAAACATCATCACCAGTTAGATCAAAAAGTTGTACACAAAACCATTCAAGAAATCCCTTGATGTATCAGAAACTCCACAAAACAATTTTTTTTTTATGATTTGTTTTTTAATAATCGTAGTCTTCTTTTCTTCTAAAAATTTGTCCCCCTTAATTAATGTATTCACATTTAAATCATTGAATGTAATTATTGTATAGAAGACCATAGGGCCAAATCGTTATCGTAAAAAAGGAACTAAAAATACCAGCTAATTTTTTGGAAAATTTAAATGCGAAGGACCATAAATATTTCTTCAAAAATGTTATGTAAGTATATACAGCGTGTTATTGAAAGCTACGTACAAAATAAAATCGGCAATTGGTCTCGAAGTATGAGTGTAAAAGTAAAAAAAAGTTCAGGTAAAAGTGTGGTCTTCATAATTTTATTCTCGTCCATTATTCATTATATTGCTTTTTTGTATTTCGGGACTCGTGGACATCAAATCATTTTTAAGTCAAGACGCAAATGTTTCGCCTCAAGAATATTCGTATGACGTCTTGAAAAAGCGGTAAAATAAACTGCGAAACTGTCGACGTAGAAGACATCTCTTCTTCTTTTTTATGTCCACGAGTCCCGAAATACAAAAAAACAAAAGTGTTCTCCTTTTAGAGATAAAAATTATTAAAATTTATGTCCAAATTCGTTGAACGCCTCTGATAAAAAGATCATCTTTCGTTTCTAAAGCAACATTTAGTCTTGACAAAAGTTTTATTGTTACAGTTGCTAGGATTTACTAAAATAAATTAATTTTACTTATTTATCCTTCCGTAGCGTCTAAAAAGGTTGGATAAGGGTTAATTTTCCCCTTATAATTTTGATAATACGAAATAAGTTTTTCAGACTTCTTAGACTTCGCGAATAACTAACTGTCAATTTTGTTGTACGTACCTTTCAATAACACCCTGTATTGTTACTGGGTTCTGATGATACATTTAGTTTAGCAATCTATATATGTGAAGTTTAACAAACTAAAAAATGTGAAAATTGGACTTTAACATAAGTCGTAAGGACTTAATGAACAAATATTTGTAATCACTCTGTATTCGCAAAACTATTTTAATACCATAGTTCAGAAAAAATATTTAAAACTGTAACGCTTTTCCACGACTATTTATAATACAATTCTCAAAAAATGGCCGCGTTTATTCACATATTGAAAAATCATATTTGTTTTACTTTTGGTATACTTACTTATTTAGTTTTTTTTTTCGATGAGTATAGTGTTTTTAATGGATTTTTCAACTTTCCCAGTATGTTTGTGCTTAGGTTGATCCAAGACGATATACAGCTTTAAATATAAATGAGGACACTAATTTTAAAAACACTATTCCAAAATCTGAGAACAAAATACCTAGAGAGCAACAAAAACACGATCAAAACTAGCTATGGATTTTTGAGAATTTGTCTTTGATTGTTGCATATTCAACTTAAACGTTCAATCTGATAAGACGAATCTTCAAAACCCGTGGCTGTCTGACGCTGTTTTTTAATGTTACCTCCGTATAATATAACATGGGTTCGTTTTTGTTTTTTTATACAATAATTTTTTCGATTTCTTGTTGAATATTTTATTTTTATAAATGTTTGTCGTGAGTCTTTATACTGGACTTTATCGTCTAACTAAATTAATATTAGTTTCAGTAATAAATAAATAAAAAGAACGTAAATAAATGACTACAAAACTACTTATTATTCATGAATTATTGTACTATAATGAAAATTTATCCACCAATATTATCATTATCGTAATATATTACTATACGGAAAAATTTTCCGAACTAATTCGTTCTTTTCTCGATAACAATTGACGCAAACCAACGGTCCGATAACCCCAAACCCCCTCCCCAGCCGAAATGATTAACGCCCCCATACTCAGCCATTTATCCGTTGTCAACACAAAACTACAACACCGCGGACAAAGCAACATTTAATCGAATCGACTCATAAAACACACCGAAAATAATCACAGAAGTCGCCACCAAACCGGCGCGCAACTATGGGATTGGTCGTCGGCGAGAGGCGGAGCCTGCGCCGCCCGACTCCGCCCCTTTCGAGAGAGGGGTGTGGTCCTCTTACCTGTACCGGCGCGGTTCGCCCTCAGTGTCTAACCGCTCTTCACGCGCGATCCATCACGAGGCAATCTTGCGACCGAAAAAATATCATTTGAAAAAAGTTTGAAAAACCGGAAACGCGGTGGCTCCGATAGCCGTCAACAGCATGTTGGTGCCGCCGGATATGCTGGCGGCACAGTCCAAGATGGTGTACCAACTCAACAAATACTACACGGAAAAAGTGCAGGCGAGGAAGCTGCAAATAAGCAAAACTATACAGGAAGTGTGCAGGGTGGTGCAGGACGTGCTCAAGGAGGTGGAGGTGCAAGAACCGAGGTTCATTTCGTCGCTGACGGACTACAACGGACGGTACGACGGACTGGAGGTGATTTCACCGGTCGAGTTCGAAGTAGTGATCTACTTGAACCAGATGGGCGTCTTGAATTTCGTGGATGATGGTACGTTGCCCGGATGCGCGGTGTTGAAGCTAAGCGACGGCAGGAAGCGCTCGATGAGTCTCTGGGTGGAGTTTATAACAGCGTCTGGGTACCTGAGCGCTAGGAAAATGCGCTCGAGGTTCCAGACTCTGGTAGCCCAAGCTTGTGATAAGTGTTCGTATAGAGACTCGGTTAAGATGATAGCGGACACCACGGAGGTTAAACTCAGGATCAGGGAGCGGTTCATCGTTCAAATCACCCCGGCGTTCAAGTGTGCCGGCTTGTGGCCGCGTTCTGCAGCACACTGGCCTCTCCCCCAGATACCCTGGCCCCACCCGAACCTCGTCGTCGAGGTGAAAACCGAGGGTTTCGACCTCCTCTCCAAAGAGTGCATCGCGTTGCAAGGAAAACAATCGGCTATGGAGGGCGACGCTTGGGTGCTGTCGTTCTTGGAGGCGGAAAATCGGCTCCTGCAAGGCGGTTGCAGGAAGCGGTGTCTCAGTATTTTGAAGACTTTGCGGGATAGACACCTGGATCTACCGGGGAACCCGGTGACGAGCTACCACATGAAGACGCTGTTGTTGTACGAGTGCGAGAAGCACCCACGGGAGAGCGAGTGGGATGAGGCTTGCATTGCGGACAGGATCAACGGGATTTTCCTCCAGCTGATTTCGTGCTTGCAGTGCAAGAGGTGTCCGCACTATTTCTTGCCGAATTTAGATCTTTTTAAGGGGAAGTCGCCGAGTGCGCTGGAAAATGCGGCGAAGCAGGTCTGGAGGTTGACGAGGGAGATGTTGACTAATACTAGGTGTTTCGAAAAGTTGTAGTGTTGTGTGTGTTGGGACGAAGGCCGGGAAAGTGGCGCGATTCTTTCAAACTGTGATTTAATGATTAAGAGAACAAAAATATATGCAGGATGCCTGTTTACGATTGTTAAGTACCTAATGGTATGTTTTTTGTACATTCAATTTAATAAAAAAGTAACTTATGATGAGAGTTAGCCGTTTTTCTAACCCTTTTGCGAAGTTTGGTGTAACTACAAAAATTTTAAGTTTGATTTTAATGCTATGGATGTTTATAATTCTGGTTTTAAATTTATAAAAAATATAAATGGTACTAATCAAAATACGAGTTATGTGATCATTTAATAATATTAATAATTTCTATAGTTTTCACCAATTTGGACAATATTTCCGCAACTGGTTTTGAGTGAAACACAATTACAGATTTTTGGTTTATCGTGTATTCAAAAACGACAAGAAATTCAAAATAAACAATATTTAAATAACCGAGTGAGCCAAGTCCACGACAGTTTTATGTCAAATAAACACGGAAGTAATTTTAACGTTAGAAGTGTTATACACATGTTAGAAAAATTAACAGCGATACAGTGATCTTTCTAATATGTCTGCATATGAAAATTATTGCGTTTTTATTATTTTCTAGTAGATATAAATTTTCTTTATACAAGCATAGAAATATAGAAAAAATGCAACTGTTCTTTTATTATTAAAAATAATACATCAAAAACAGTATAAATTATTTGGTTTTAACATGACATATTTCGTTGTCTTTAGGTATATTTTTTACATTGTCTTACCTAATACTTTTTATTTAATATCTACTCATTTGCAATCTTTTGTACGTGACCTTTGAGATTTGAATCATAAATCATCATAACATCTTTCGTTTTATATATTTATTTGCAATTTCTGAGTTTTGAAAAATTTTATTTTTTCTCAAATGAATTGCAGTTAATAGAACTATTTTCTTTACAAATTTGACATCTAGTACATAATGATGTTTATATTTACCTATATATTAGTCCAAAAATGTTCTTATTGCAACTTTTAATACATATTTAGTAAAAGTTTGTTGGTAAAACAAGTAATTGCAAATGTAGACATAAAAGTTCCATTTGAATTCCAAAATACGACTTATTTGAAATAAAAATTTTATGAGTATGATTCCGTAAAAATATTTATACTGTGTATATAATCGTATATCGTAGTTTGATAAAAAAAACTGCTATTTTCTTAGAAAATATCAAAATCTTAGGTTTTAACTTATTCAGAACACAAAACAAGCCCGATTTACAATGGTAAAAGGTATTAAATTGTCAAGATTATATTTTTTGATTGTCAAAAGCTATTTAATTCCTTTCTAATGTTGTCAAATATAAGAGAAGAATCTAGTCAGTTTACTTACTAATTTAATTACTCAAGAATTTTGTGAAATGTCTATACAAACTATATCTAGTAATAAAAAACAAAACAAAAATCTTTCGAAGGTAGAAACAATAGATACATAATTCTAAACATTCCGGGGCCTTAATAACATTAAAGTTTACTAAAAAAAATGGTCGAAGGTTATTTCGACAGAACTTCCCTCGCGCCGAAAGTATAATAAAACATATCCAGTTTTTTCAAAAAATTATGAAACTTGATTTTGCTAATTTTATTTTTTTGTGAGAAAGCTTAGATTTTATTGTTTTTAGGGGAATCCAGCCCTATCAGTTAAAAACAGTATTGTATTCCCAAATTTTCGGGAAAATGGAGTGTGCTGTTCCTGATTTAAATAAGAAAATAAACTGACTCATTGATATTTTTTTGAGTCACTCTTTATAAGCAATTTTAAAAAATATCAATGGAGTCATAAGTCATAAATCACAAATATAGACTCATCGTATTTTGCACATTTTCGAGACGATTTAATTGGCAAAATTTTGAGTTGACGTCATCAGTTTTAATTTAATGGTTAAATTGTAAAATACTGTTATCAAATTTTGATTGTTTTTACAAAAATCTGGATCCCTACGGTAAAAACTCAACACGGAATCATCAACTACAATTGGAGGAGTAAGTATGATATTTTATAAAACTGAAATATCATTCACTATTTAAAAGTTGCACATGACGTCACATTTTTGTTGGTGAGTATGATCAGACAAATTTTGGTTAGCGTTTTACCATCTACAGGATATTCTTAATATACGCACAAAATTTTACAACAATCAGACCGCCAGTTTCGGAGATTATCTATCTCATAAAAATTGACACAGACGCGGATAATCGACAGACAGACAGACGGAAACGAGAGACCTATGTTATCGTATTCTAGGTGTCATGAAAGAGACAACCTAAAATAGCGAGTCGTGCGATATACTGGATTACAATACTTCCTTGGTTCATGCTGGAAAAGTAAAAAGTAATCATATTTTCTTTCAGATTTACAGTCCTTAAAACACGAAAATGTTAGTTTTTCATTTGGTCTATCCCTCTGTAGACTATCTAAATTTTTGAAACTTCGAAACAAATATCTTAAATTTTAGGGGTTAAGTATGTGTGTATAGCTGACAAGAAGCAAAGCATAATTTGTATCTTTATTATAGTTAAAAACTATTGATAAACAAATTTTACACGGTCCTCTAATAATCCATCTTCAATTTTAACTTAACTGTCTCCAAAAATAAGATGAATGGCTGTTATATTTTATCTCAGCTATTATCCATTGATCCAGGGATTTGAATCCCTATAATACGAATTCAATCTGAAGCTTTTTAAATGTTCCTTCTGATGTTTCCACTTATGTTAAAAAATTAACAATGACATTGCAAAGGCAAAAAAGTTTCCTAAAAATAATTTTCAGATTTTTTGGTTATGAGTTTAACTTTTTAGCTGAACAAATTTTTAACGAATCAAATGAGAGATTGTTAATGTGAAAAACAGTTTGTTGCTAAGCAGAATTAGACTTTGTTACTGACTAAACTTTTGCATTAAATTAAAATGGAGTTACCTTGTTTAACAGACTTTTTACAAAGGTAATGAAAAATACCATGTAAATTGATTTAGTATACCACGTTTGCAAATGGGAACCAATTTAAATGCCAACTTGTTCGTAATCACCTATTTATCACATATTTCAGTGGTCATTAAATACAACAATTGTCACTTAAAAGCAGAACCCGAATATAAGACGCGGACAACTTTTTTGTGGTAAATTTTTGTCTCAAATTAGTTGTTTTTGATTTTCTATTTTTTTATCATCACTTTATCTTAAGCAAAATATCCCTTGACGTTGATATTATGTTAATATCATTCCACCACATTTTTTTTATTCATGTACGTCTGGTTGATGTCACAGTTTTGTATGTGCTTTGTTTATAGTTAAAAATTTAGCGTATTTAATTTCAAACACATTATCTCAGCCAATTAGTCGATTCATTTTTAACTTCATTATATTAGTATGAATTTGTTACACAATCTGTCCTTGTTCACAATGGACTGAATCGTTAATCGGATTACACAAAAACACGTTAAAATGTATCTGATTTGGTGATATTTTTATATATAGTTTTTTGAATTCACGGCTATCGCGCCAGCCCATATATCTACAAACGTTAGTGGAGAAGAGAGCCGGCAATAACAAAAAACCTGTTAACAGCAATAAAAAATTAAATTTACAGTTTGTTTTTTGTTGAATTTAAAAATAAAAAAATGCAGTGTCCAAGAGTAAAATTTATGGTTGGCGTAAAATCATTATTATCTCAATTTGACAAATCTCGTGCCTGAGTTTCGAAGACAAATTCAATCTCTTTACTACAACTATTGTGGGTGGCACTCGCCATAAAATGATCCCCATAAAACTTCATTTTTATTTCCAAAATCGTGCATTAAAACCATCAAACCTATTAAGTTTTATTGTCGAAAACAAACACGGAAAATTAATAGCCGACACGACTTCCATCGTATAATTTTTTTCCCGCAGCATCTAATCCACATTACTTCTCGATCCCGCCGAAATAAACAAACGTTAAAATAAGGTTATATTAATGAACGTCATTAATTGAGTAATCATAATATTTATCAAACTATTTAATAAATTTCACTCACGTATTATGGCCCGAAACGGCCATTAAAACATTTATTAATTTCCGAAACGTTAATAAGATTACTCTTTCTCCGTCTACAAACTGTATAATTTGTCCGCCGTTTTTATACTTTCTTGTTTTACGACATTTTTTCAACGTGTCACCATAACGTTTAATTTATTAAACTTGATCTTGAACAAATAAAATTCGGTTTCATCGGCTGGTTATAAATATAGGAAATTAAATAATCAGAAATGTGGTTTGGAAATATACACAAAAAATAGATCCATGACAGCTCCAAAATGGGGTTTTGTTATGAATTAGGGCCTCGCGTGAGCGTTTCTGGAACAGCTATCACGACAACCGGAAAAAGAAATGCCTCTATTAAAAAAATTGGATACGGGAGTGTGACAACGAAATCATTTTTATATTTTTGTGATGTCTTCATCGTGCTCACCACTACATTACTTATGTAATAAGCTATTTAAAGAGCTTACTGACGTAATACAATTCGAATGTGGGCAGCGGTTTGAATTTGAAAATTAATAACTTTTAGTGCAGATCATTTATTTCAGGTAGACGCGCCTATACTACTTAAGTAGAGATCGACTAAATCGAATAAAAATATACATTTTTTAGAGCTCACGTTAGGAGGCAGTTTTGAAGATTATTTATAAATTTAATTCATGCGGAGTTGCGAAGTTGACCCTTCGGGGTTAAGTTGTAATTCTGCCACGATGCGTCGTTATTAATTCATAGTTGTATAATTAGTTTGATATTTTATCGGAAAAGATAATTTTTTCCTTCGGTTTTAGCAAAGCGGATGTATTTTATGTCAACGACGATGATTCGTTATGTTGTTTTTATTAGAATCCATAAATAACGATGACTTCTTACCTTTTGACAAAAAAAATAATTAGAACTAATTAAAATTATCTAATATTTATCTAAAGATATTAAAACGGATATATTTAATTAGTGACACTTTAAATTTATGCTGATGGTGTTTGACTGCACACTGTGTGCCAACACGTATGTAGATGTGGTGCGGTGTGTAAGAAAAATGTAATTTACTTACGGATACTGCACCTACAATCGTATAAATAAATATTTATGTAGGAGGAAG